GAGAGAGAGAGAGAGAGAGAGAGAGAGAGAGAGAGAGAGAGAGAGAGAGACGGGAGTCGGCCCGATAATTACGTTGGTCGTCGCTCTAGGCGCACGCTACACCGGCCTGTTCAAAGCAACGTGTGCATGCTCTTAGAAATAAACGTGTCGTGCGATTTACAGCCGCCTTCTCTCGCACGCTCATACTACGGTTCGTGCATCATGCGCACGTCGCTAATGGGGACAATTTCGTAGATTCGTGAGAATAACCGCGACTAGGACGTACAAATTGTCGAAGAACGTCGCATTTTTTGGACGACCTTTTGAAATCGACTTTCGCTTACATATCTGCATAGTTTATAATTTAAAGTAGTTATATCATGAAACCAGTTTCATGAGAATTTAATGAAATTTGCACTATATATATATATATACAGAAATATTATCTAACTGCTTTTGCAATTAGGACAAGATTGCAAAAAGATTGCAACTAGATAAAGATTAATCAAGATATTTACAACTAAAATCAACACTTTTTGCATGTGTTTTTTCAGGTAAACGTGTCCCTTTAATTTCTATTTTTAATATCTTCTAAACTATATGTGTGAGATGTTGATGAAACAATTACCATGATAGAAAAAGTTAATATACAGACATTATATACAAATTTCAGAATTATTGACCACTCTCTGTGTTTTTAAAGTATAGCAGTGAAATGTATGTGTTCTATTTTCAGTACATATACATTTATATACTCGTGGTTCAGACTCTATTGATCTAAAAAAAGACCTCACAAAAGAGTAAAAATTTTTTATATTCTTGGCGTCGCGCGCGATACTCGCGACACAGCTCGGTTTTTCTCGTGTTTGCTAACTTAAAATTTGAAACTTCGTTATTATAATGCAATTAGTACTATAACTATAAATACTGCGATAATTTCAGATTGATATAGATTGAAAAATTTAGATATAGCTGAGGAGAGTGAGAATCAAGATGGTTTAGAAGTTGAAGCGCGTCCTGCGTTTTACAGTCGCGTTTGCCTGGCCACCTGGCGCACCGGTTACACCTATGCGCAGGTACGCGTGCGTGCACGAAAGGTACCTAGATACGTGCGCGTAGTAGAATACCGTCCAGCTTTCTCTTTTTATAGCCCTCGGTGTACCGATCTCGCCTTCATGCTTCACACAAAAGCGAAGTCGTGAACTGCTGCTGCTGCTGTGCTTGCTCATACACGCACGCACACACACACACACACACACATTCAACGCGTGGGTGTATAGCGCGCACGTATTATTCCGGCACACACGTAAATGCTTAGGTACAACCTCTGTTAGGATATTTCGGGAGATGGGTTCCTGAGAGGTTTCCCCATGAATACATGTCGATTAAATTTAGAAATATCGTCAACTCAAAGGTTAGTTGACTTGTAATATTGCAATTGGATTCTATCCACTGTCAAACAAAATCTGTATCTCTATTTTCTTTGACACAAGTATCAAGATATAATGATATGGCTCTTACATTTACAATAATATTTACTTATTGAATTTATTTATTAAGAAATCGCCAGGATAGTAAAAATTCTTTTGAGCAATTGAACAGTCATGACTTGAATAGAGTCATGGTTTGATAAAATGCGAACGAATTCATTTCGTTCGTTTTTCTCGAAAGAAGAATCCTTATCTCCGGTCTCACATACTCAATACATCATGACTAGGGTCTCTAATCGCTACTAAAGTTTCCTTTATGGAATACAGGTTAGTGTCTCGAAGTTACAATTCCTCGTCCAAATGGAACCGGCTGATAAGCGGCAACTACTTCGAACTGGTTCTGGCAGCAACGAGGTAAACACCTTTTCCGGCATAGTTCGAGTGCCTCTTTAAGCAAATTTCATTCTTTCAAAACGCACTTCTTTAATTTGTAAACTCAGAAATGTGTCAGTCAGAAAACGTACAGATCGTTAAGTGTGTTGAAAATCGTATCGGCACACCGCGTATTATTGCACGACGTTCGGCAAGACTTTCATCGCGCGGAAAATTGTGCGCACGTGAAAGAAGAAGAAGAAGGAAAAAAGAAGTGCAACGCGCAGTAACGACTTCGCAGGTTACAGGTTTACGCCATTTCCTTTGAATTTCTCGGCACCCACAAAGTGGCGCGCCGATACGCCGGATAATAATGTTATTACCATCGGCACGGCGAAGTAAAGTAAAGGCTGTGTATACAAGAAATCGCTCCGGAATTCACGAATACCTGGCATCCGTTCGACATCTGTTGGTGTAAGTGGCGCGAGTACTCGAACATGCGTTCCGCACAAATTACTTCGGCAATCGCTTCGAGTGTTTACAGTCATCGGCATGTAAGTACCATACATGCCCGAACCACTGTGCGTACATATAAGTACGTGTTATGTACGCATTGACGACGATTACGTACGAACGCCAATTGCCGTTAACACTCGCGTTGCGCAAGCGGTAACTCAGATTCTGAAATCGCTTTTAGATTTTCCTTCCATCTTTCCGGCTGTTGGCTCGTAATATTCCTCATCACCGTTGGAAATTGCTTCGATCATTAGTAAGTTCAGATAAAATATCCGTACGCATTAATCCTTCATCTTTCCATTAACGTTAGGCACGTCTTTACTTTAGATAGACTAACAAATAGCGTCAATCGAGAGCACTCTAATTATTATCGGACACATCGTAAGAGCCATTTTGTGAATGTCAGTGAGTTAGAAAAATGTATTCGGTTGCTTTTCGCGGAATGCAATCAAGATTAAATATCACAGTTGATAATATCGCTCGCGCGATTATATAACGATAACGTCTAAGCTACTTATTTACATTTTCAATGAAGTACATGCGTCTTACACGAATCGATTATGTGTGTCGTGAATAAATTACGTATGACGTATTATGTTTAAGTATATAATACAATAACATCTAATAAAAAATGTGTGTATTTGTGTGTATGCGCATTTTTGTGTATGCTCATACATCCTTAAGATTAACACAATTATTCAAGATAAAATTTCCATTCTTCCATGATCATTGAGTATTTGTCTATTTTGATTGATGAGTATTAAAATAATTGTATCGTTAAGTGCCGTACTTTTAGTAACGCATAAAAGACAGCCACTCATAAATTTACTATTTATCAAGCAAAATTATGTTTCTATACATTTATTTCACTATTTAGGTATCATACTAATTAATTAATTTAAAAAATTTAAGTTTAAAAAATTGAGATAAATATATGCAAGGTAATTTAAAACAATCTCTTTTTATCCTTAAAAATACAAAATCCTGGCAAAATTCTAAGACAACTTTTTATCTTACAAAACTTTATCCAAGGTTTATTTTTTAAATTATTAGCAAAAACAGTTTGCTTATCACGAATTGGATATAGGAGATAAGTAGGGGCGACGCAACTTACCGTCAAACGCGGGCGCTAACGTGAAGTAAAAGCTAACTAATCAGAATGTTTTATTCACTTATTGCTTTATTCTGATTAGTTGTCCTAAACAAATCGCTTACGATCATGCTTACGCAATTGTAGAATAGCTTTTAGGTTCGTGACTGATAATTTTTTTAAGAAACATGTAAGTTTGGTTATATATTTCTTCCAAGGATTATCAGACACCGAATAATTCATCGATAATAATTGACAGTGATTAATTGTACTTATTAATGAAAATTACTTATTTCAAGTGTGTGCATGAATGTGAGTGAGTGAGAAAAAGACAGAAAAAGAAGAAAGAGAAAGAAAGAGAGAGACAAAGAGGCAGAACGTGCTTGTATGTGTGTGCGCGTATTATTGTAATTGTGTTTTTCGAAATTATTACCAGTTATAAAAATCTTTAGTATACGTAACATAAACTATAGATTTCTATGCTGACAGTGAATATTTGCATGTAGCTTGTATGTAGCGAACAACTGCAACAAGCATTCCATTGTAGTGCCCGTGTCTGACGGTGAGTTGTGTCGCTCCTGCCTACTTCGTGTATCTGACTCGTGATAGGCAAACTATTTTTGCTAATAACTTAAAAAATACGTCTTGGACAAGTTTTATAAAATAAAAAGTTGTCTTAGAATTTTGTCAGGACTTCGTATTTTTAAGGATAAAAAATTGTTTTAAATCGCCTTGTATACACAATATTATAAACATGACAAAACTAGTATTTCGTTATTTTTCTAATGAGCGCTTGACTTATTCATCAGTTTTATTCATCCAATAAACGGACCATAAGAGATATATAAGTATTTAAATATGTGAATATGTATATTTCAAGTATTACTATAAATTATGAACTTTCCACTTTTGTATTTTGAAAACAAAATGATCAGTAAATTTAAAATTTATAATGTGTGTAACATCTATATATCAACCTTTAATATCATAGCAGTTTTTCTATATAGTTTAGAAAATATTAAAAAAATAGAAGTTAAAAATATCACGTTAGCGCCTCAAGGAATATATAAAAAGTGTCGACTCTTGCAAATATCTTAACTTTCGAATGGACAATCTCTTTTTGATTGCACAAGCAGTTAGATAATATCTCAATGCATATGTACTGCGAGTTTCATCAAATTCTCACGAAACTCGTTTCATAATACAACTACTGTGATCATGAACAGCAACAACATATATCAAACAACATTCAAAATCCGTTTGATTGTTTCTTTCTTTGAGCGCCAATTAATTTTTCTATTGATTTCATTGTGCTCTTTCACGCTGACCGAGCGACAACGTCATCTTCTTCATACGTTTCAACGACTGATCGTAAATTTATCCGCGTAAATGATGCCTGCAGCGTGCACAAATGCACGAATCAACCTTTAATAATAATTTAATCGAACGTCGCGTCCGCCTCTTGCGCACAAACGAACCTTGTTTGTCTGGCTGCCGTCATTATGCGCGCAACCTAATTACCGGCCAATGATTTCATGGAACGCCATTCGAAATCCAATTGACGAGATGCCCGCGCGATTGGCAATTCACCGACGAATTAAACGCCCGCGTTGCCGATCGCCTGGACATTTACATATTTAATGCCAAGGACTTGCTGTGAGTTATGTCCGAAACGTGGGTAACGCCTACGGGTACGTTCACGTATCTTTTTGCAAAATTTAACTTGCTAACTGTACAATAAAATATACATGCCTGAAAATGTTTCCCTGAAGAAGTGAACATCTGCTTCGCTGTATGCCTAATATATAAGATTAACTAGATTAAGGTGTTGCGTTCAAGTAGATATAAGATTCTGAACTAATTCTTACAATGAGATCGATGACGATTGTTGCTTGTAATACCGAACTATGTATCGTCGTGGGAAGCACAAATTCTCGTTACATTGCACACTGTTCGAATCGCAGAATACTATAATCGAGTCACCGTGGTTGAATGAGGGACGCGTTTCAATGGCCTGAGAAACTTCGAGTGTATCATCGCAGAAGCACGCACACGCGATGCCACTAGTAATGACGCCGGCAAAGTCATCCTATCGTCAGGAATGACTGGACGCTTTATCAATTCTATTTACAGGTTGACGAGCGCCAATCGATCCGTCTGACAATGCGGCTCGAGTATATCGTTTGTCAACAGAGCTGTCCTGCTACCACGAAATTCGACAGCTTTATTGAACGAGAGAGGAAAGAGCATGCGAAATCCGTTTAGGTTTATTTTCAGCGAGCTCGTTGCACAACAGGCCTGGTGGAAGTAATTAGAAGACGGAAGTTTCAAAAGTGGAGTTTCGCCTTGATATACGAGTTTTTAAATTTCTCAGTTGTACCAAGCACTCTGGACGATAAGGAACTGAAGCATTGAACGAAGAAAAATCTAACAGTTTCTGCAATTCAAGTAATGATCGATGCATTTGCGCGCACAGACATGTCAGCTGGCGTATAGAAAATTTTTCTTTCGCGCATTCAGCAGCATTTAATTATGAAAGGTTTGAAAAGTGTCAATTCTAATCCCACCAGAATATATAAGATGAATTCATGCCGAATACTTGGAATGGCGAATGTATGTATCTTCGTGTGGAGGATACATTGCTATCTCGGCACACAAATTTAAGCTTTTAAATACGTGACAAATATATTAAGTATTTTTTAAGAGCAAACATTATTTTCCAATAAATTGATAGACGTAACTAAGCGTCTAGTATCGACTCATTATACAAACCATTGCACTCCATAAATATCGTACGATTTCATGAGCTCTACATGTTTGTATCAGAAACCATCTAACCAGAAAGCAAGCTACGCTTTGATGCCAGTATCTGGCGAGTATTGGCGCAATAAAATACGAAGTAGCTCACTATTAGTGAAAAATGTTTTTAGAGTATCTTTTTCAGGAACTTTCTTGAAATTACTTCTCTCGTGCGGGTATCTTTAAATATCTGCGAAGAAAATAGGTTCACGACCTCAACTCCGAAAATACATGAACTTTAACGATGCCAAATTTCACTATTGATAGCTGAACGGAAATTTGAAACAGTGGAAATTTATCATTTATCGAAATTGTAACAAAGTACTGAATTAATATTCCACTTAAACAATATCTATGTTTACAATTAAACTAAAATGAATCTCTGTTTGTCTATAAGAATCTATAAGAATCTTTTCTATTTTTTACAGATTTCTTCATAATAAAGCTTTTTTATCAAAATTTTTACTATAAAAAATGTTGTAGCAAAAGAAACCTGTCATTAAAATATTGCCCGATAGTGATCAAACATATCTACGTGGGTGCAGAATACGTTGAGTACACAGCTCAACTTTCACGAGACGAACTACGGATATATAGGTGAACCCGCCGCCATATATGGAAACTCGTTTGCTCGCCGTTTCCTCCCGCCACAAATCACTTTGCCTCTAAATAATACAATTAACCCTTGCCTCGCACCAAACGACGTTGCACGTTTCACCACGCTTGTGTTTCCTTCAAAGAGAGTTTTTAACGTCGCCAGATACGCGGAAATCATAAGGAATTACCATTATTGGAATAAAGAAAAGATCGATGTCATAGACTAGAGTTGCTGCAAACGTTTTCGATGTATTCTAGAAGAATGCTCTGTGTAATTTTTAATTCCTCAGATAATTAAGATTTAAGAGAATCGATGAAGAGAACATATTATTTCATTATACGCAACATTGTAAAAAATACGGAATCTAATTTTTCTGAAGGAAAATATAAGATACCCATATTCGAAATAAAATGTACTTCATTTAATATAACAGTGATATGCTACATTATATATATAATGCAAAATTATATATTATATACGCTACCCTTTATTCGTTAAACAGGCGTTGAACAGGCTTACCGAATCACTCGGAAATATAAAGCTATATCAAGCTGCGTCACGAAGGTAACGTCGACGTGACGATGGCTGCCCACGCACTATATAACATCGAGGTAGATAATAAATCCGTTAAATCGTGCACGGAGCATGTGTAGGTGCGTTGGGGATTAGATACGCCACAGCCGTTGCTGTGGCACTTAATGATCGTTTTGGAGAAAGTTTCAAGCGAGAATCAGACTCAGCATCATTGTCGCTGGTAATACAGTGCTCCGCCTAATCGAGATTACCGCAAATTATTTGTTAATAAACCGTGTTCAAGTTTGCAAACGATCACTGAATACAATTTGTATTATTCAAGTTACTTGTTTTGTACGTCAGGTCTCAATTTTCTTAGGAAATTCTTTTATTTTCATACTTGTTTCATATTATCACTCCATTTTCCAAGAATCACTTCTTGTTAAAAAAAAAAAAGAAATATTGTGCTCTTTGAGCAGTTTATTTTCTTTTCGTAATAATTATAAATACATTATCAGAGATATATTCGCAAACACTTTTAACAGTCACCGATGCAATTGTTGCATTTGATTTTGGGGGTTTCTTATCTAAAACAACAAAGTGACTCATATTGTTACCTTGGTCGCCATGATTATTAGAATTTTCACTGTAGTAATGATGACGCACAGAACTCACGGACAATTTAGCGCAATAATACGTTCCGTTACAATTCACGATTGCCACGTTATAGTCTTGTTCACAGTATTGCGTGCTAAAGTCCTTAGTCGACGTTACGCACGTTATTACTCGCGCGAGTGTTTCCGTAAGCAGGCTGCGGTATGTGAGCCGGAGTGAGAAACGTAACGGGTAACGAAGAAAAGGTACGTCGCTTAAAGAGTCCAGTCATCTCCCGAGAGTTGACCTTGATCTTGAGAGAGTGAGTGGTGAGGTGCACCGTGAGGGCCAGAAGTAAAGGCGGTAGTTAAGGCGCGTTTCGCCACCTTACGATTCTCTGTGTTCATGAATTAACTGCACAATCAGCGCCCATGGTTTAACGACGTTTTTTATATGTTTATCATATAAGCTGCTTTTATTATACTAATTATTTCATCTGTATCCTAATTTAAAAAGTAAAATATGTCAGATCCGTTTAATTTGCACTTGTCTTAATAGAAAGAATAATTTCTTTGTTCTGGACGATAATAAATTGTCCATAATTTACTAATACTAATGAAGAAAAATTCATTAATACTAATGAAGAATTTAAATATATTTTCTGATTATGAATCTCTTATTCGTAGTTTTGATCGAGACTAAATTTGTATGACCTTTACGTATGTCTTAGACTCACATATTCATAATTTGCACACTTACATCTTGTTTCGTTGTGGATTTTTATATAATAGTCCCAAAAGTCTGTGATCTCAAATATATCTCTCTATAAAATAACACCGAATTTATCATGTTATAATATGTACTTCCAAAGACACGCTAACATAATAACGGTACCATTCTCGTCAATTGCCTCAATTCATCAAATTATCCTTATTATTATATAGCAATGATTACTATTGTATAGCAAAATACGATACGACATTACATAGTATATAACATGCCTCGCGTAATCACCAAAATCTAAGTAAAAAAATCTAAGAGGATTACCTTGCTTTGGTCGACTCAGAGCCAGCATTCTTCTCATTGATTCTCTACGAAAAATACGCGCTATAGTCACGAGCGCGGCCTAATCCAGACGTAGTCGTAGAGAGACAGGGGAGATGGGCCTTTTCGGCGGTGTTGCGGGGGCCCGAATGGCGGCGGCTGGGCCTGCAGTGTCGGTGCACACCGGCCTCGGCGCAGACGTAGCGTTTTCGCTCTCCTCTCTCGCGGTGCGCCGCGGTATAATGGCAACGTGTTTTCGTCTAATGTACTTTTTGTGATGTCCTTGATGGAGGAGTCTGCGAATGCAGAACTACAGGGCAGGCCCGGTGGGGCCCGTCGGTGCGCACGGAGTGCCGCGGGGAACAGGAGGTAGGATCTCGGAAGAGCGGGAGGACGAGGGAGGGGGTGCGACAAGAGGGCCCGGCAGCACCTCAACCCACCTCAACTTCGGGCCTAGTCAAGGTCAGTGTGGCAGGACCACCCGTTCCCCTCTCTCCCCTCTCCGTCACCTCCTTCGATTTCTTTTCTTCTTATTCGCGCGTCCGATTCTCTCTTTTTGTCTTTTTCTCACCCGCTCCTCGCCCCCTTCCTCGCCCTCAACGGGCCTCGTACCGCATTATCGCGTCATACCGTGCTGGGACCCACGCCCTCTCCCATGTGCCGCCGTACGTTTCTCTCTTTTTTTCTTTTTTGGCACAGACCAACTTACGATCCTGCGAAATCCCAATTAGTGGAGATACCCGCGTGATAGGACGTCGGCGAATAGTGTCGCGAGTTATCATTGGACATGTGATAATTCGCACGGCAGGTTAGATCGCGAAAAGTGTATAATTGTCGCGGGAGTTTTGAGTAATCGCTTGAAAATCCGAATAATTAGTGGTGCTGTCGCCATTAGGCTTCGAGCTCGATGGACTGTCGAGCAGCTATCGTTACTCATACATGCGATAATTCGACATGCACGTGTTGCGGCAAGTAAAAAAAATCGTGGAAGTATTGCATTTCTCCTTAACATCCCATGTTTCCAACCAATCGCTACAATTAGTGCAGTATGTCGTCGATTAGACGAGAATAATGATTTGTTAAAGAGATTTCTTCTGTGTGATTGATCACTACAAAAGTATTCCATTGTCTCTAATAATATTTGAAAAAATTACAAAAATCATTCGTTCCATCTTACCACGACTCTTGTTCCAAATGAAATCATCTGTCCTCAAATTTCAAATAATCTTTTGGGTCTTTTCGCGGGCCCGATAGAGCGCGCAGGCGCTAGACGAAAATTCGAATCCTTTGGAGAATCTCGAAAGCGTAGTCAACCCGGGCGTTCGATCCGACATACACCGGCGGCCGAATAGTTGCCTCGGGTATATCAGGCGAAATAAAAAGAAGGACCTATTTATCTTGACGCCCGCGATCGTAAAGAAAGGCCTTTCGAGGATACTCACGGGGGATATCTGATTCATCAGCTTCATTCATCAACGTCGACCGCTTCTGTTTCTTTCATTTCTTTGAAACCGTACACGGCTTCTCTAGTGCATGAGCAACGCGCGGAAGCGTCAGTGTTAGGCGAGGCAGCCGGATAGAGCTCCTCGAGTCGGCGATGATGAGGCCGTCGGGAGTTCATTTCCAGTCAGTTTTGTTAGCACGGCCTTAGTGCAGCGTGAAGAATCGCCCCCATCGAGATCGGCGGCCGGTAGATAATGACAATAAACATGAATTGATAATGTAATTCAGATAAATGCACGGAATGTTATTTCATATTCCTGTGCGTGTAGATCTGGTCCTGCATGTGTAGCCAGCTAGAGGCGAAGTACACAAAGAAAAAAGTTATACCATTGATTCTCTTCCCCAAACATACAGAAAAATGTAGTCCAATTACTGCATGACAACTCTGGAGTTTCTAACATGCAAAATATTTTTTCCCGCAGTGCAATATCGAGTGTGTAATTATATGCAAGGGGCATAAATAGAAAGATAATAGAAACGGGATAACGACGGGATTCAATTTGTTCAAACAGTGATTATACTGCAGACGCTACCGCAGATACAAATAAAGGAAAAGCTTTTCTCTCGAGAGGAAGTAAGCAACCCTTCAACCGTAAGAACCGTTCGAAGCTACTTATATTCTCGCATTGTTCTATTCTCCTCTAAGTTACAAATGCTAAAGCGAGACCGGTGCATCTGGTAATGCTGCATTTGCACCGCGGACGCACCTCGGAATGTCTGGCGATAATGATCAACGTCGAAGTAGGGAGAGGGTGCTGCAGAGGGCCGCTCAACAAGGATGCTGCAAGAACGAAGACAGGAAGGTAGAGAGAGATGGAAGGAAAGAAGGAAAGAGCAGAGTCAGTAATTCGAGGCCTGGAGGTGAGTGAGCGAGGCATGCTAGTACAAAATGAGATTGGATCCTCTGACCATGCAGGACGACTTTTGGGTCCCGCTCGGCCCGCCTAAGTCCTTTACGCTCGGTAAGGCCCACTCCTCCGCACCCCTCCGCCGCTGCGGCCGACCTCGGCGGTGTCGAAGTTCCATTACCGGCGACGCCCGACCCGCGCCTCTCGTACCATCTTGAAAAATTCGGCGATTTACATTTATTCCCGCGGGCTCGAGGTTTTTATATCCTCGTTTGCGGCGCGCCGAGAGTAATCGCTACTGTTACGACAGATCATCGTAAAGATTCGCCGGCGATTCGCGCGCATTTAGGCGAGTGTAATATGCGCGTGATAAACGTACGATTCCAAAATGCTCGATTCATTCGAGCTTCCCTTTGTTGTCGCGAGTTTAGCTCGACTAAATACACAAACAGTGAAAACAAAACAAAAAATTATATATATATATATATTTATTTATTAAAAATATATACTTGTATCTTTATATTTTTGTATTGTATCTATTATTTACAGATACATACACATACATATATATTCTTTAAATATATGCCTTTAAAAAAATTTTAAATTATATGTGTTATAATTTGTGATATTCTTGAAGAAACTTTGTCCAACTACACAGAAATTATTACTACTGGTGGAAAGGAGAGTTTAGTTACACCAAGTCGGTCTCTTTGGGTGCGTTTACGCGCGAAGTTGCTCGCCACATGCCGCAAAGTGTGCGTTACACAGACGAGCCTTCCCCTCTTTATGGCTTCAAATATTGGTGCCGAACTTGCATCACTACCAGTGGCATCGAGTTACTTAGTCCTCTTTCTTTTCATTCTCGAGAAATCCCGCTTCTAAATACACCAAATGCATTCTTTGTTCAGCCGAAGCATGAAAGCCACGTAGCTGATCATATTTTTGTCCGTCGACATCGAATAAAATTATTTCGACGCTTACTATATTCCGCTTCCACAAAAAGTCTTGGATATTTTATCTCCTACACATCCTCATTAGATGCAAACAATCTCTACGACACATAATATTTTGTTAAGAAAATAATTGCTAATAATATTGTAAGTTACGTCAACTTGTTCTGGTGAACCAAAAGATAATTTCAACTATTTTACGCGTCACGTGTATATTAACAAAAGTATCTTAATAAAAGTAAAAATTATAATTTTGGAATTTTCTTTTATGAATGAAAAAATTAAAAAGTATCTCAGGATACGTTATTTGTTTATTATTTATTATCACTTAACAGTCATAAAAGAAGATCAAGGATCTTATTTTGGACGCACTGTGAACGTTAAGTGCCCTTTCAAGTTCCGTTTCTCTTAAACGAGCGTCACGCGTTGTTTCAGTTTGAGAATAGGAAAGGCATATTTAGCATTCGATACGCTCGATTCAGAACGAGGCCCTTGCTCTGATTCGAATCGCAAGATTCGTGGCGCGATGCCCGCTCCTTCGGGACATACCTAATTGCCCGCAATTCCCTTCTTCCGGGTAGGACGTACGTGAGAGCGCATTAATTGCCCCCGAGCGACGCGCATCTGCGTTGTTGCGACGTGCGTGATACGAGCCCGGGTTGTCGCAGCTGCAGGTACCGAGAAACGGTGCAACGGTTTCAATTGTCCACAATATGGCCGCCGGCTCCTCGGCTAGGCCTCATAGTCGTTATCCTTGAGAGCGCGCCGTGCATCTCTTTCGTTTTGTTTCAGCGTATGCGGGACGAAGCGGGCGGAAAGGCGAAGAGAGAGTGCGCGGAAGGAGACGGACGGTAAGAGAAAAAGAGAGACGAAGGCAGCGAAGGAACCACGCCACAATGAGGGCCCGAATGTTGCAAAACCGCCTGTGTGTCTGTGACGATACAGCCGGCTCCTACAAGAAATGATAATTGCCGGTATCCCCACTCGGTGCCGCGGTTCGTCCTGGTCTATCTACTTCCCTCTCACCCCTCCCCCCTCTCCTATCAGCTTCCTTCGTCTGTGCGATTGGAATTGCGAGAGCTACCCCTTTTCGCGAACCACCACTTATTAGAGCGAGGGGAGTCCCGAGAGTATCCTTGAGGACTCCTTCTGTGCTGTTTAACGAGTGTCAAAATATTCCCTCGGAAATACAGACTAGTATTCCGCTCGGAGTTGCTTCCACGCGTGATTATTGGTCTTGTTTCTCTCATCGTTCTAACCCGCCTAGGCATTCAAACGAACGTCGTTCGTGAGGATGGATAAGCATTAAGAAGAGAGACGAGAGGTGGATTCACTTGATTTATTATCGCTCGAATCGCCATCGGAAACGCGAAAATAATGGACGACAGCTCTTTTTCAGACATACCCCGAAGCTCGATCCTTGCATCTGCTTTTTCTTCTTTTCTGCTAAACGAGATACCAGTCGCGATGGTCTCTCTCTCTCTCTCTCTCTCTTTCTCCTCTCCTCTCTCTCTCTCTTTCTCCTCTCTCTCTCTCTCTCTCTCTCTCTCTCTCTCTCTTTCTCTCTCTCTGGAGAGGACGTTAATATATTTATAAAAATCCCTTAACACACGATTAGCCAACGAAATCTTACCGATCGAGAGAAGTCTATCCCAAAAATATTAGAAGCCCAAATCATCGTCATGATTATCCACTGCAGCAATTCGATGATTTTACCCGCATTGAATTGAGCCGCGTTTTTGTGGCGATGAGACCTAATTGCGGAACGAGAATGAATTTTTTGACGAACCGCTGCCATGAAAAATCACTCGTCAGTTATACAATACCACCCTCTGTAGGGCCAGTCATCGTGAATCAACCGAGCCAGGAACCATATGTTTCCGACCGACTGTGCTATGGAGT